GTTGGTGTTGGTGTTACTGGTGCTGACTAGACTTTAATGTTGGTGACCACTGAGCTTGCTGTCTTGGAGCTGGGCTGCTGAGTGAAGATGGTGATGACCACTGTGCTAGCTGGGTACTGTGCTGGCTGGGTGATGATGATGATGATGATGACTACTGAGCTGGCTGGGGGGGATGAACCGGCTGGGTGATGATGGTGAGAATTGGTGAAGGAGAGGCCTCCTTATATATTCTTTTCTGAGTTATTTTTTCTGGTGGTGATGCAGTTGAGGTGATTTTGCTGGTGGTGACCTTGTGGGTTTCACTGCCTCCTGCAAAGAGTACATGCATTGAGCTAATTATGCTGTGGAAATAACTAAATATGGTACTACTGTATGTAAGGATAGCATAGCTGGTTGCACTGCCTGGTGGAGGTTTTTATGTCCACATGCATTTATGCAAAGTCTGCGTAAATTCAATTAAGTTACTAAGTGGAGGCCTAATGATTGCACGTATGCATGCAAGAGTTGCATAACTGATCTGCACTACTGGTGGAGGCCTGATGATGTAATAATTTATGTTTATGTACTTATATATATGTGGTAAAATACTATTAAATACTAATTAATGACTAGTTATGGTATGGCTTTAACCTTTCTATTGGATTATCTTCTAAACTAATAGAGATAGAGGTATAGTTGTAGTGAGTGACTATGGGTAAAATTGTATGCAGATTCTGATTATGCAATAATATAGTTATATTTGTAAGTGGTTTTAGGTTATAAGGTAGGGGTTTTGGCAGTTTTGTTGCGCACAACAGCCTGGACCACCCCCCCCAAATTAATGCTGTCCGCAGCATTCCTGGTGTAAGCAAGAAAACTGCCCAGAGCCTCTAGTTGACTAAGTCTAATTCATTAATATGTTTTGATTCCTAACTGATATTCTACTGATTCTCCTTTTCCTTCATAACTTGGTCCTTCTGTTCATCTGATTGGGTTTCCACTTTGATTGAGTCTCCACCGTTCAGGTTTTTCTTCATTGTAACTAATTTCTTCCTCTTATTCCCAAATTATAATGTACATTTTTCCTTGTTATTCTCCCCGTCTTGTTCTCCACCTGCCACGTCCAAATCAAAGGCTCCAAATACAACTCTCTTTCATTCTTTTTCATGGGTATTAGTCCAAGGAAAAGGCTGGTGGTTGATGTATTTTAAGGCTATTCCAAAAAGAAAGGTCTCCAACTGCTGAGTCTAATGGGCTTTTGAATACACGTTGTAAAGCTCAAAAGTGTTTGTGAAAACCTTTTGCTGAGTGTGGAAAGGGATGAATGAGGATACCTCTGCCTTTCCTGGATCACTAGACACTAGACAAGCCCACCAATCTCAGATTGGAAGGTTTAATAAAGTGATAGTGGAGTGTATCAAAAGATAACTGTGGCTTAACAGGTGGACAAAGGGTTTAACCCAGTTTTATAAGGGTCTAAAAGGTTGATTTGAGAGTGAGAGAGTGATTCTAGCTGATATTTGAATGTAATGGGATGGTGTGTAATGGTATGTAAGAGTTTGTAATGGTAGGGGGTATGAAATAGGTGGATACTAAACTGAGGGGAAAAAAACTGAGAGGAGAGCCTCTTAAATACACAAAGGTGAGGGATTATAGCTTCAGGTTAACAAGAGAATGAGAGATTTTAGCTGGCCAGAGCTTTACAATGAGGGGATTTAGCTAGTCAGAACATGTACATGAGGTATTTTGGCTGGTTGAGCAACCTAAATGATGCCATAAGAGTTATTTTAGTTTGAACTAGAAGTCTACATGAGGGTTTTATGCTGGTGTAGCATTTTTACATGAGGTGATGTACTAGTCTGCAAACTAAGGTGAGGTGATGAATATTACATGAGTGGTGTGAGATAGTGCGACAGCTGCAAGGAAGAATAACAAATGACATGACAACCTGCATGATGTCACTTGTAAATCCAGAGTGGTACCAGACCAACACTGCATGTGTCAACTGTCAGAAGATAGTGGAGTGGTGTGTATACATGTACTATAATGGTGTGAGAGTGTATGTAGTTGTCCTGCAATGTGCATATGTATAGTGTGAGTTATGTAATTTGTTGGTGTTGTTGAGTGTTGAAGTGTTTCCATGGTGGTGAGTTGTGTAATTGAGTGTAGTGATGGTCCAGAGGATGTAGCTTCCAATCCAGTTGAGTTCCAGTGACACCTGCAGTGGTGGCCAAGGCTGAAATTGACCATAGAATCCAGTTCTTGAGCCATAATGGTTGATTTGTGAGTGTATATATGAGAAAAAAGGTGTAAAGAGTATGTAATTTGTAATAAAAGAAAAAACTGTAAAATTTTTAAATGGACCAGATGGCTACCCTTTAGGTATACCACAAATTTCAGTTCACCGTCCCCCCAAAGAATTCCTTAACTATTTCTTTCAAATTTTCATTCTATTTTTCCTTCACATTGATAATCTCTACTCAAGTTTAAACTATATTACTATTTAGCATAATTGGTTGATCTCGTATCCTCTGAATTTTCTTCCTGTTTTTAGTTTCTAATATATTTCTCTGTGTTATTCCGATAAATGAAGCCTCCAGTCCTCTTCATTTAAAAAATTTCTTTCTGTATAGTATCTGTTATTCTTCTCTACAATCATTGGCCTAAAATTCGCCTTCTACTGACTCGTTGCTGTTTTCATTACTTTCTCCGGAGTCGGATTCTTCTTCCTTCCCACTTTCATTGTTACTACTTTTACTACTTATTTCATCTTCCAGCCCATTTTCTTCCTCTTCTTCCAATGCCTCCTCCGTAAGGTGTCCAATTGTATTCATTTTTGAGTCATGTAGGTAGAAACTTTCAGTGTGATTGATAATTTTAAAATGTTGATTGAATTCAAAGTTTAAGGTCGTATGGGACCACTCCCAGTGTATCTGGAAGTATCTTGAAGTTTTGCAGTTTAACGTCATGCAGGACCTAGATTTGTCTTGAAGTTTTGCATTTTAAGGTCATACAGGACCTCTTCAGTTTTGAGTTTGCAGTTTATGGTCATACAGCACCTACATTTGACTTGAAGCTCTGCAGTTTAAGGTCATACAGGACCTAGACTCCCAGTCCTTAATTTATCTGAGATTTTTTTTTTTGATTTAAATTTTTGCAGTTTAAGGTCATACAAGACCTAGACTCGGGGTTCGATAAGCGCAAGCCAACCCCCCTCGCGCACACCAATCTGCTGCAGGGGAGATTGGCCTGCAGTTGGCGTGCAGGCCTGCACACCAATCTCCTTTCCATAGGACCCAGGCATGGGTCCTATGGGAGGGAGGATTGCAAAAAAAAAAAAAAAAGTCTTGGGCTGGGAGGGATTCCTCCCATCCCGAACACCAGGGATGATTGCAAGGCACTTGCATGCAAGTGCCTTCACGTAACTTTCTTGAATAACCTTTTTGTAACTTCTAAGAAGTGAGTCTAAATTGGGTTACAAGTGATTTGATTCTCAGTGTGATGTTATGCTTAACTTGGGCTGATATCAAACTCAAAAATCAAACTCATTTCTTGCTGAAGTCAAGCTGGTCTGATGTTCTACTTATGGATAAATGATCTCCCAACTTTGACTGGAAAAGAAATTTTGCATATTTTTGGATTGATCCAACATAAATGGAAATTTTATTCTCCGCCTCAGCAGCCTGTTTAGAATATGCATACACACTACACATAAGTGAAGATCAATGATTTGTTCTTTTTACTTTTTTCATGTAAAAATCTGCTTTTACCAGATATGATCACTGTTGTTTCAACTGAATCATTTAATGCAATATTGAGATCACATTGAGAACATGTGGTAAAGAATTTCAGAGCCCTATCCCTGTGAGAATCTCTTTGAGATGTAACTTCTTGAATGAAAGTATTTCCATGACAGAAAAGTTTTATAGATAGAGGTATATCATTTATGTAAAGTTACATCCATGTAATATTTGTAACTTAATTTGAATTCCCATTGAAGACATCAAAGGAGAGGGTGCAAATATCTCTATCTCTTTGGGAACAATGCATATCTGCATATAAAATTGGATGGATTCACCATAAATTAGGGGGTATCAAATATAAGAAATCCACCATTCAAAACCAGTCACTTTTCCCCAAACTTTTTTTTGCATCAATGGGCCTCAAACGGGGTTAAATGAATAACCAACATGTTTAAAAAAGGGTGAATTTTTTCAAACCAGTCAATTAAATAAAGGTGGATTTGGTTATATTTGATACAATAGAGAGTGGAAGATTTTGAGCATGAGGGTCTGTATTTCATCTTAGCTTGAGTGAAGTTTTCAAATCAAGAAAGACCAGGGCACCTGCTGCAACAAATTAGTATTTTATACGAGGACATGGGAATTGGGATTGATGCAGTGATCCTGAAAAGTAAATGCACATAAACTGCCAAAAATGATTTTCAGGGTTTGAAAAAATTATATATAATAATAAGTTGTTTCTCAAGTCCCAATGACACATGCAGGAATTTTTGATAAATTATTGCCATACAGCTTTGTCTTTGAAAGAAAACACACTCATTTCATTTTAAAATCTCTTCTCACATCCAAATTCAAAGTGGAACAGGTTTGCTCAAGGAGTGAGGCTGAGTGTTTCATCATTTGTGTGCCACACTTTGTAACTTATGCAATGGTTTATTGAAGTGTTTAATGAAGAGTTGAGGTGAAAATTGGTCTCAACATAAACAACCAAAATCATGTTTGAATACTTTTGTTGTGGAGACAGTAAATATGCTAATTATCTGACTAGATAGTCAGATTGAGCTTCCTTTTGGAATGTGATAAAAGAATAGTGCCCTGAAGCTTTGAATCAAAGTGAAAAAAGAAATATATAAATAAATATGGGGATTTTTTCTCAAAAAAATATGTATGGAAGAGACATGTGGAGACCCCGGAGTGCATAAAAGTCATTTTTGGAGTCAACAGGGCTAGAAAAAAGAGGCAAAGAGGTTATAAAACCAAGAGGAAATGAGAAAACTATTACAACTTCTTCTGAGCATTTGATATTTGTTTTTGTTGCCCAGCCACCTCAGGGGAAGGAGCTGTACCATTAATGTACGCAACTACAGCATGAGTCATAGCTTCAGACATTTGACAAGAGAAATCTATATGAGTATACCTGTCAGATGGAGAAGCTCCAGGAAAAGTCTGGTGTGTGTGAGAATTGGACTTGAAAACACAAAGAGTAACACCTAAAACATGATGCAAGTCTAAGCAGAGTTGAAGTTTCCTAAAGGTGAATTGACCTCCCAACATATCAAAACCTTCATCGGCCAAAATTGGACCGTTGTCTGAAGCGGTGCGTGGGTTGAAAATAAGAATCCAGCAGACAAGAGTCCAGTTGTTCACGTCAGAGTCCTTGTGGGGTCCGTTGTGGAAGTTGTACATGGTGAACGTGAGGAAGGAGGCAAAATCCAGAGCGTTGTAAGGCAAGGGATATTCCATATGAGCCATGGATGGCAAGTTGTTGCTGATAAGGGTTTTGCAGTATGATTTGAAGACACCTGGGGCAAGATGTTGGAGTTGGATTGCGATGAAGTCACTGGCTTCTTTGATTGAGGTAGCTTTGTCTCGAGGATTGTAGTTGGCCCGACGCATCATCTTCACGAGTTTACCAACAGAGCAATAACATCCAAAGGATTCTTTCTTTGAGCACTTACGCCATCCATCAGCCCACATATCTCCCGCCATTTGTGGCCCATTGTTCTTGACAGCCTCGACGTAATTGGTCCAATCAAAGAAGTGGCAGACAAGCTTCTCCCAACCTTGAATCTGTTCAGGAGACATGGAGGCAAAAGGAACATATTTAACCTTGCAGAAGGCTGGCCCACCTCGAGGTGCAGCAATGCAAGTACCATGAGTGAGATGATGATAGTGCTGGAGGGTGTTTTGAGTGGTGATTACTTCAGAGGGATTGGGGTCAACCTGTCAGTGAGGGGGAACAAAATAGAAGTAGACATGTTGTTCTTGATTTTTTTGGCTATTTTTTTTGTTGTTGTTGGTGGGATCAGAGTCAGGAGCATTGTGGGTCTCGGCATCTTCAGTTCAATTAATTGAAGACGATCCTTCAAGCGGCGCAGATGCTTTCTTTTTATTCAACGCCCAGCGCTTAATGTCTTTCCCTGAGCGCACTCTTTTCTTGGATGAAGTTCTGTGGGAAAGCAATTATGAAGGGTTAGTTTAACTCCGGTTTCATGGGAAGAGCAGAGGGGCCATGGTTGATCTTGATGTGGAAAGGACCGGTTCTGAATAGATGCTCAGTCCTACAGGAACCACTCCACATCACAGATGGTACGGCAATCAGTCTACCTTAGAAAGATCAGCCCGGTCCAAATAGATGCTCAGTCCAAGGGCGTGATCAGTCTTCAGTAGACTTGGTATTGGACCAACAGGGGGAGAGACTGGTTGGTGTATTTCTGGAGGATCAACCGGGCCTGAATGGATGCTCAGGCCAACAGCATTGATCCCCTGAAAAAAGACCCAGAAACTAGGGGGAGGAAAGGATTGGGTGCTCACCTGGTCTCCCCACCAACGATAGAGCGATTGTCATTGCTGATAACGGGTGTATCAGGCTGCGGTTGTGATTTTTGGGTGTTGTTGTGCATGCTGGTTGAGATGGTTGAGTGTCAGTTTGTACATCAATCTGTGAAAATGTATTTATCGGCTAATCAATCGATTGATTTGCTAATCAATTGCTCAATTGATAAGCGAATCAATCACTCAATCAATTAGCAATTTGATCACTCAATCAATTAGCAAATCAATCGCTTGATCGAGTGATTGATTAGCGAATCGATTGAGTGATTGATTTGCTAATCGATTGAGCAATTGAGCAATTGATTAACAAATCAATCACTCAGTTGATTAGCAAATTGATTGAGAGATCGATTGAGCAATCAATTAGAAGAATGAGAAGGACGTACCTGAGGGGATGGGAACGGTGGTCCTACTTGTTGGATGTGATGGTCTACAGGAAGTGACAAGGAAGGGTTGCATGAGCTGAAGGGAGTGATGAATGTGTAGGAGGTGAGAAAGAAGACAAGAACTTACATAGTTGATTGTTTGATTGATGAGGGCTTGACCAACCGGTTGATCAATCAATTTGTCTATTGAATGAACAGTTGATGGATTAAGGAAAGGATGAAGGCATTCAGAACTCAGGGTGATAAGAGTGGAGCGACTCACAATAAGACTGAATCCAACTTGTTTTTTGCTTGAGGAGCCTGTTTAAGGAAATGATTGGTTGTATGAGATGAGTCAGAGAGGGAGGTGTTAGCAAGTGAGTAAGGAAGTGAGCAAGCTAGCAAGCAAAGAGGGAGTGAACACAGGTACCCAAATCTGTTTGACCAATGAAGATAGTGGTTGATGGTGAGGTTTGGGGCTGGCAAGCAAATCAGGGGGTCGTGTTGGGCTGGTTGAGGTTCGATTACGAAACATGAAACAGAATTCTCAAAAGGGGTTTGACTCAGCTGGCCCAAGCCTGCTGACCCCAATTTCAAGCCAACCACCAATGTGACTTGGTCCAGTTGAGGATCAATGTTCATGTAGTGAACACATTGCGAAATGCTTTACACAAATCACAATCCTTGCAGCACTATGGGGTGCATCAACATTAAATATGACCTTTAAATAACTCCACTAAAATATTCACAACAATCAAAGAGCATCACCACATAAAGGCTTGTACGTGATAAAATAAACCAAGGGGCTTTGTGAGGCTACTATACAGATACTTCAGAAGATTTATTGTTTCAACTAAAGACTGCACCAAAACAGGGGATTGAGCAATACACACAAACAACTGCAGAGATAAAGATGATTACAAAAGCTACAGGTAGTGGCAAAAGTGTACCAGATAAAGAGAATTGCTGAGGAGTTTGTGAATCACACATATAGTGCATCTGTAAAGCAACAAATGAGAGTTCTCTTTACACTGATCAAGTGAAGGAAATGAGAATTATGGTGAAATTTTCAGCAGTAAACCATGCAATATTCTGCTAATTACAGAGTTTTGTAAAACTACTGTCAGTGAAAGTGCCTCCTTGCAATTTATTGTAGTTTTGAAGATGGATATTGTAGACATCCCCCTGAGTGAGATTAGTTGGGCTGCAGGGTGAAAAATGGTGGATTCTTGAGAGTGAGAGGGAGAGTTTGCATGTGGTGATGCAAATTTTACTATTCTTCTTGTGGAAAGTTCAGGCAAAGAGAGATCTTGGATAGCTATAACGTAAATAACCTGGGGTGATTGGTGTCAGCTTGTCTTAATTCCTCAAGAGACACTTAGAACTAATTGGGATGATAGTTTGTGGTCATGACTGCAAACACTACTGCCCTATCATCCCATCATCCAACCAAAAAGCTTGAACTCAAGTTACTGATTTTGATTAGCACAAGAAAAACATATATTAGGCATGATGTGAGTTCTGGCCAGTCCAAATAATGAACCTGAACGTTTGGCATGGGGCCCATGAATAAAAAATTACAGTGTAATCCTTCTGTGGGAAGTGAATCATGCTGATTTGGGGCATCTTGTGTCTCAGTTGCTGGATACAAATTGGGATCATTTACCACATGTGTGGCCATCGCAGATGTTTCAAATGTGAGGGTACAGTGGTGATTTTTTGTTTCTTGTGTAGTTTGAGGAACACTTGGTTAATACTATGAATTTCCTACTGCTCCTTAAATCATTTGAGTAGGATACATGAGGTGAAGCTCACAGAGCAGAAAGAATAAATGGCATTCCATTGGTGGATGTATTTGTTTTCACACATGGTAGAGATGCTTGGGTAGAGGGGTTTGGTCTACTAATGATTTACGATCATTGAGAAATTCCTCAATTGAAGGAGGAAGAGGTCAAGATCTCAAGGAATTCCAACAGAGGTTGGGATTTGGTGAGGTGGGTTCCTTGGCAGGCCCCTGCAAGGAATCAGGCAAATTTTAACTGGGTGGTTAGTTTTAATTCTTGGCTGTGCCTAGGGAGACACATCACAAGCAGAAATCATGAACTGCGTGACAGGCAGGGGACAGGGAAATCCCTTGTAATCATGAAGAGCAGCATCACCTGCACAACTTTTTTGTTGGAACAGATGTGTGTAGTAGTGTTTAACAACTGGAAGGAGACGTCAATGGGTCTCTAGCCCATGAGATAGGATTTTGCACTTCAGGATGGTTGAAATGTTTGTCACCTTGATACTTCATCTATGAGGTATCAAGGTGATGTGGGATGCTATGGCACTGGGCGTTGTAGGACTCCTGGGATGGATAGACACGGTAAAGTATATGTATATCAAAAGATCCCTTGAGGGGGAAATAAATTGCAAATAGGTTGAAAGGCTATTACAACTTACGGGTGGTTTGAAAGAACTGCCCCTCTAGTTGTACTAAACAAATAACTAAGACTCTTTGTTAATGATCTCTTCCTCGAACAATTTCTTGCTAAGGCACTTTAATCACAACTAGAGCTCCGGTGTTACTACTACTACTACTTGTTATATGTTAATTGTTAATAATACTACTTAAGTTCACTTTGTTATGGTTTGATGGTTCTAGTTCTACTACTTATAAATCTCTGACTTTACTTAACTAATTCTCTGACATACGCACTACTAACTAATTGTGACCAACTTACTCCTGTAGGTTGATGATACTAGCTTTACTAACTAATTCTAACTCTTCACACTTTACTGACACTCCAGAACACTTCCGGTAGCTCAGGACCAAACTTACTGCTCTGAGAGACTGTTGTAGGCTGATGGGGGATAAGAGAATTCCTGGTGGAGAGAGGCCCTCCTTTTATATTGAAGATTGAGGGATTTCTGCTGCAGGGGACTTCTTGTGAGGCATTTTTGCTGCAGGTAACACCCACTAGCACAGCATGATGTCATTGGTTGCTATGAAACCAAGCCATGTAGCATGTGCTGAAACCTTCCAAAGCAGTAATCCAGTACAGTATACAGTCTTATGAGATCTGTGACCTGGAAACCAAATCCACATTCCAAATGTTCTGTGTTTCATCTCAACAGATGAAGCAACAGATGAAACATCAGATGAAACACTTGCTTACTTCCTTCCTTGTTCATTCTTCCGGGTCAAAGCCTTTCCGCCTACCTTCCTTCTCCCCTCCTCATCAACTGTCTTATGTTCTTTTCCACTGATTACAAAAATAAATAAACCCATATTACATAACCTACCCACGCACACACCACGTCTACATATGTATACCTTATCCTGATGTTGTATGTCCTACGTAATGAATGTTCCTCCTCTTGTAATGAATGATAAGGGTGTGTCACTGTGACCTATTCTGTATGCTTTTTGGCATTGGAACAGGCACAGCACACCCCAGCGTCAGTCAGTTCATCTAAGCTGGAACACACACGGAAATATTGGTATTTTTCAGCATCAGGCTTGAGAAAACCGCAAAGCTATGGTGTATGTCAGGATTTAGATTGCTTGTTGATCAGGTGCATCCTGTTTGCCTAGGAGAGGTGCTTTGGCAGGAGTGTGGTGAGGAAAGTTTTTTTTTGCTCAAGTCCTACCTTTTGGCAAAGTAGACCTGAGTGTGTCACCAAAACGTACGCGCGTACGTTTTGGTGACAAGATTGCATTTGGTCTGAGACAAGGTGAAGATGAGTGAGGGTGGTGAGTGCATCAAATTTTGCCCTTGCTGTTCTCAGACTTACATGAAGACCATTCAGCCACCATTCAGCCAGTGAGATTCTGTTTGGGTCCTTCTTGGACAAAGGATGTTCCTAAAATCATGTGAGCAATTCCTTTGTGCATTGTTTGGCCCAATTACATAATTGATACCAGGAGAACAAAGCACACAACATAAACATGATTTGCTTTGTGCCTTCCCCACTGTAATTAATCTGTGGTTTGCATGATTTTCAGGCTCTGCGTACCACCCAAACAAGATCAGCCAAATATGCAAGCAAGAGCCATTGTTTATGAAAGCTGGTCCCCTTTGAAGTCCACAGTTGCATGCAGGAGAAATTTATGAATTGAAATTTAATGCACACCGGTGGTAGTATGTTTGGGTAGGTCATGGGCCTAATTACTGTAAATCTGCTTCCTTTCACAAAAACCAGTGAAGGGGAAAACACAGCTAGTTGAATTTCAGGTGATTTAAACCACTTGTGAAGTGGTAAACATCCTTCAGAGCTAACTTGAAAGGCACCTACAAAACATGATGATATCTTTCCCCTCTTCTCAAACCTCCTCCATATACTCCGAACATCAGTTCATCTTCATCGTTTGATTAGTATAGCCTTGAGAAAATCCTTTGCAATGTTTGAGATATCAGGAAACCTTCACATTTCTCTAGCTCAAATCTCATCAATTCACGGCTTGCCAGATAATACTATACATCTCACCAGTGTGATTAGTTCCCCAGATATTACGCAGCACACACCACAACATGAAATCTCAAAATTCCACGTCATTCTCCAGTCATATAGCCCAGAACCTCCCTCTTGGATTTATGAGCCGTTGACTGAGATCTTCTTTACTGGTGTCTTGCGGCTAGTACAGTTGGAAGTTACCCGCGGATTGTGGTTGGAGCCGGAAAGTGGGTGTTGCACCGAGGCCAACACTTTGATCTGGTCAAACAATTTCACAAGGCTGGAGTATGGGGATCCGGTTATGTAGTGAGCGCCAACTATAATCAGACTTCACCCCTGCGAAGCTATTTGACTGTTTTCAATCCATCACCAAAGCAGGTAAGTAGTACAATTTGATCATAGTGGTTGATTAACAAAAATTTTGTACTAACCCTGCCCTGGCTTCATTAAATTGGAAAATTCAGGGGGGCCCCATTCAACTTCTTACCTGGGACTCTGATATTGTGAAAAAGATGAGTTGTCTTAAACGTGGGGACTGGATCACGTTTGGCGGGAAGGCTGGTATTGACTCGTTCAAGGACACTCACATTGTGGAATCAACTGTAAGTCTTTAGCTGCACCAATAACTTGTGCTGCTAGGAACTATGTAGTTGATTGTGACCCTTGTTCCTTGCAAAGGTCTCTCACCTAGAACTCCTAGGACGGTCCAAATCAACCCGATATTACCTCAGATTGTAAGGGTTGAGTCCCTTCACTGGAGCTGAAGGTGGATGAGCGGAAGCGCGGGCACAAAGAAGGAGTTCTAGGACCAAACTGAGGGGGGCTTTGGATTGCAAGGCTGGCTCAGAGAGATGGGAGGACAATTCTCTCAGTACCATCTAGAGAAAAAGAGAGGACAAGAAGAAAAGGGAAATAGAGCTTACCTGGCTCAGAGAGATGGGAGGACAATTCTCTGCAGAGCCAGGAATGTGAAAAGGAGAAATCAAGACTAAGGAGGGGGTGTGACATGTGAGTGAAGGCTTTGTGAACCCATCCAGGGGAGGGGTTTACACAGATCTAATCCAAAGAAAATCCACAAGTTGACTGTAGATGATTGGGCGCCTGAGAAGTTATTGAAAAAGAGGGGATGCAAGATCCGATCGTCCAAGTCCATCTGGAAAAAGTATTAAATAAATGCTGCACGCATGATTTTCCTTTTTCTCCTTGTTTCTTGTCAATGCAGAAACAAAAAACCTGCTCCATCTGGGGTTGCTCCCTTCTTGATCTCCAACCCATCATCTAGTTTGTTTATTTGATGTTTTGGTCTTGGGGCGTATTTATCTAAAAAATCCTTATTTGTGTCTCATTCACATTCTCATTAAACATCTAGTATTGTTGGAACTTGTCAAAGGACGACTTACTATTCCTGTGGTGTTAGACAGTCTTCATATTCTTGCAGTAGAAATTACAGTTGATAGAGGCTACATTTTACAAAGTCTGGTTTGGGACACAGGAGGAATAAAGTTTTTGCTAGCTAGAGTTGTTTTGTGAATTTCAAATTAAAGGGATGACCACTGTAGCTTCAAGTTATCTATTGTAGGCAAATGAGAACATGTGTCACAAATCCTTGGCACATCCAGGGAGATTTTAAACTGAATATACCTTCCTTCCACTTCCGCATCTCCAGCGGACCTGATGCAGAATAATTAGAACAGGGATGCGTGAGGTGGTTATATCATGTCAGAGGTTTGTGTCTAACTCTTTGTAGTCTTAATTCAATCAACCTGCTCTAGGAGTTTCTGGGATGGGGGCACGTGAAAAAACTGAATAAGCACACGTATAGCTGTGATTCTAAAGAGTTGAAACCTTTACGAGGAGGCAATCCACTCCATCAGGGCCATCGGGAAGGTTTTATTTTAGGTTATAGGAGCAAGCTGAAAAAGTATGATATCTATGTGTAAGTGAATCTATTAAGAGCGGGAAAACTTATTAGTTACTGACTAGGATTCCCTGGAGGACAAGATCTTTTTGCAACCAAGAAGGGAATCTACATTTCATTAAAAAAGCACAGAAAGCTTAACTTTGGTCTTCTTATGATCCACCAGCGTGTGTGGCCAATATAAGAACAAGACTGTTTACCTTTGTACCAAGACTTGGGGGAAAGACTAGCCTCATAAGACCCACCAAGGTGTTGACAGAGAACAGAGAAAAGCTGACCAGTGAAATGATACAATTTTGGAGTAATCATTTTTTTACCGAGAAACTCATGATAAAAAATTCTTAATAACAACCTTGATTTTTAGGGACATATCTTTCCATTGAATCTAGAAGACTAAATTTGAACAGCAAATAAATCAGAGGAATTTTTTAGACACACTCAACATTTGGCAGGCTAAGAAGGATAGGTAAGGTGTTTTGGGAAGGTATAAGGTTGAGCACAAAAGGGAGAGCATAGGGAAAATGAGAAGGTAAAGTTGGAAAGCGTGAAAGGGACACGCAGTTATGTGTTACAAGGGAGCTAATTGAAAACACATGTTATTTTTCGGTAATCTGGTGGGGTGAGTGGGGAATAAGAAACAGAGATGAGGGTTGCTGAGTCCTCCAATGGGTGAGAAAATCGATTGTAATCGCCTGTGCTAGCTCATGTGGATCTGGCCTTTTTTGAAGGGGGACTATTTTGCCAGGTGATTGGAACGCTGGTTGGAATATTTCAACAATGTATGCAGAGAGATTTTTCCAAATGGGTTCCTCAGGGGTTCGGTTTACTTTTGAGCAACGAGTGATCACTTGTCAGACACTGAGACACTAGCCCAGGTGTCTACAATAGAATGTAACCCCCTTGGGTTACATAACAATTATTATTATACTTTAAGTTAATAATTATAAAGTAATGTTATCCTTTTTTACATGTATTTTTTATGTAAATAATTATTCTGTAAATTAATAAAGATTAACCTCTTTAGTAATTTACCTCTTCCATGAAAATTATAATCAAGTTGAAAAGGATAATCATCTCCTGGGTGTATCCAAGAGATGATTATCCAATTTACCTCTCTTGTGGTGTATGATTATTATGTTTATCTCTCTTATGGTATTTTCTGAAATAAAGGTTATTCAACACATGTACATTTAGCATGCTCTGAATATCCTGACACTTTCCCCCAAGGAAAAGTGTAACAATAAGGGACTGCACCGGTCCCAGCAGCAGAATTGACCCCTGCTCTGTAATATTTAAGAGGATGCTTCTGCCCCTGAGATTCATCCCCCAGACAATATTACCATACCAACCCAACTACCTTACTAAAACATATACTTAGTGAGTGGGGTTTTTAGTAATATATTATCTACATAACCTGTTGTACTTTCCTCTTTATCTTATTACTAGTCTTTATAAGTTACTTTATTAACTTATAAGACTAGTACAAACTTTATCCTTCTTACTCTCTTAAGCACCGGCACAGTGAAGCTCATTCCACTGTTGTCCCTTATTATTATAAGGAGCTAGCCCCTCCACTATACTAGTGTTGAGGAGAGGCTTAATTCCACTGGCCCTTTTGGCTAAAGTGTGACCCAAAAACCCATCAACTCTAGGTCACATAAGAGACCAGAGTTGACATCACTTCCATGGCCTGGATAAACGACATGCATTCCAATACTGGAGATGTACGGTGATTCCTGGAACAGACAAAGAGGCCTCGAACACCGCCGATAAGGAAGTATGTAAGGGGCTGGAAGTTATGTCGGGACTGGATTGACTTCAGTCTCTTGGTGGAGGTAGAGGTTTTCGTGACAGCTCCTCCGGTTGTTTTTTGAGTCACAGCAGAGGCAGAATTTTCCTGGGGAGCTGAGGGTTGCTGGGATCGGCCTTGCTTCTTGATTTGGCTGTTTGTCAAGGGAGGTGGGCTGAGAGCGTGAACCTGGAATATTATGTAGCCCATGAAAACATCGATTATGACCTTTGAGAAGTCTTTCAAAACATCGATAGCATGAGATTGCAGGACAACTTCCCCTCCAGGGGCAGCGAAGGTCGGTTGGGTCTCTCCAGGTGTTTTGAAAGTTGAGAGTGAGTTCTTCAGTCCCTCAAGCCATTGAAGAACTTGAAGCCCTTGGTTGATTGGGTCGTCATCAGTATCCGGGGTTGGAGGAGGTGGGCTGTAGAGCTTGAATGCCATGACCTCAACAGAAGCTGCGATGATTTTTGCCCATTCAGAGATGACTGCAGGGGGTGGACTTTGAAGTCGGTGGAGGAAGCGGATGATGGTGGACTCGGGATGTATAGTTTTGGTGGTTGGAGAGATGAATTGCTGGGAGGATCCAGACTTTTCCAATTGGGAATACAACACAATCAGGGGGAAATCGATGACATCAGGGCAGTTCCATTGGTCATTTGGCGATGGAGCTAAGAAGTTGTTGGCTGAGGGAAGATAGGTCGTTTTTTCAGTATGGTAGGTCAAGTGGGAACAACAAAAAACACGTTTCAACTAACCAAGGGAGCTAATAGTTTTGATCCAAGAAGTATATGAACAGGTTGTCCTTTCAAAGTGAAAATCGAGATTGTGTGGTCCTGGGTTCTGGAGAGATTGGGCTCGGAATTGGGCCAGGTTTGAGAGGGCAGTCCACGTAGTTTGGTACCTCTCCCAGTTGGGCTTCACACCATCAACATGCTGATAGATCTTGATGACTGAAATTCTTGCATCGCTTGACTTGAGGATCGTGAGATTTGTGAGGGGGTCTGTTGATGCTGGGGGTTGACTGGTTGAATCATTGGGGGTGGGGGAGGCACAGACGAGGTAGTTGTGGTTCTGTTGTTTTGGTTGTTTGGAACTTGGGGGTTGGCAGATGAGCCTTTGGGCTGATTCTCTGAGGACTAATGATCTTCTTCTGGAGGTTGACCTGGGTACATAGCAAAAGGTGTTCAGTCTAGAGCAGGCTGTAGCCAACATTTCCTTGACAAAGTCCACATTGAGAATGATAG